AGTATAATTAATAGTTATAATAAAATAATGAGTCAACTCGGTGGTGGTAATCACATTATATGATAAAAAATGAAAAATCTATTAATAATAATACTTGGGTGTCATCACCCCTATCTTCAACCAAAAAAATCTAAATTTACCTACCCAAATAAAACATAAAAATTCTATTAGGCTATTATATCACGAGATTCTTTCATTATATAATTAATAATTAATTAAGTAGTTAACTGAGATTAAAAATTAGTACTAGCTCATAGGATATTAAAAAACAAAAATAATACTAATTCTAGTTTATTGAATATTAAAAAATATTAGTTTAAAAGATATTTTAAGAGAGAAAAATAACAGTAACTCATACCACTTTAGAATTTATTTCTACATTGATAACCAAATCTTTTATTTTTTATTTTTTAATTTATTTGCATTATAAATTATGTGATATACTATTTTTTCTTCCAATTGTCAATAATACATTTTAAATTAAATGATTTTATAAGATATTTTGGATTTGTTATTATTTGTATAATAAAATAAACTATAAAATATAAACCAACAATTTCAATTTCAGTATATAATTTCTTTTGTGTGATGTAAATTTAATAGTTAACCTAAGTTCATACAGGAAAAGAACATCTCAATATTCGTATATTGATGAAAAAAATGAAAGTTAATAATGTAGTACCCCCATTTTTTATTGGATTTCTAAAAAACAACATTTATAATGAATTTTGACAATTTTTTAAGATTTTTTTTAAGGCTTAATCCGACCGATTCAACCGATTCCCGATCCGGATCACCGATTCACCGATCCGGATGGGTTTTTGAGGTGCCCGATCCAGGGCACCGATCCGTTTTTTAAACCACTGGTTTCTAGACGCGAGCGATTTGCGGTTTTATGCTGTAATCGACATAAGGTGACCGATTCTCGTGTCGAATCGGCCGAGTCCGTGATGACTCGGCGATTTTTTAATCACTGGTTTTAGCACATCACCTAAGTTGGTTACCTATCATTGCCATCAAACTAAGTCCAATATATTTGTTGAGTGCCCTGCCAGAGTGGTATAAATGACATCATTTACACTTTTGAAGCGGCAAATGGTTTTTATATGCATCTTTGCTACTTCCTTTCTACTCACCTTAATAAGAAATATTGGTCAATCATGCTGATCTATAAGCACTGGTGTTGCTTATGTACCTAAAGGTATTTTCTCTAATTTTGAAAATGCAACTGATTTACTCACCCAGGTCCTAGTCAGCCTATTAGCACACCAATCAAAGTTTTTCTCATGCTTCAAAGGAAAAAGGCAAACCACTCCTAGTCCAACTTAGAGTTGTACCATTGTTGAACTCAGCACAAACACCAAAAGTCCCAATGGTACATGCATGGTCAACCTTGGTCATCAATTGATCAATCACTTGCAACCGTTTTCTCCAAATCTATCAAGCACATTGTAGACAGTCAAGGCACCATGAATAATGGCGAATAATGGCATTTTACTTTCTTAAAACCATAATTTTGAAACTTGGGGAGTTGCTCAGGACTCAGTTCCCAACCATAAGTTTAGGTGGACCAGTTTGATGGTTTGGGAGTGGAAGGGGAACATCATATCATGGACCAAGAGGAATAACTCATGGCCTTGGCACCTCAACCACATTTTTTACCAAATTTTTTACCTTTGCAGACATGAATATCTAATAGTGACATATATGGTACGAGGCAAACCACAATGTGTTGATATCCTCACTAAAGCTGGAGAGTGCTCTCGTTCAGCAGTAGATACTCCAACCAGTGGGACCTCCTTCGCAATTGTTTGAGCTCAGGCCCCACTTTTTGTTTTTTGCAAAGCTATCTCTTTTCTCGAAGGGACAATCAGGTTGACAGCACACAGTGAAGTACCAATCTAACCAATGAACCCACAACGACCCTTTCATCGCCATGAGCTCAAAAGAGAAGATCAGCGTCATCCAAATGCAAACTACTCCTTTTCACAGTAACAGAAAGAACCAGGCCTCCACTTTAAGATCTGTATGGTTCCCATGGCCTATAAGCAAACGCTAATGCGCGGTAGTTCAATTCCTTATTTCCTGCAAGGCTTCTTGAGCCTTCGGTACATTCAAAGTAGTGTTTTTCAATAGGAAATGGTGAATATTGTGATTTTTTCGGAACTTCAGTACACCTAACACCTCTATTTGGTAATGCCTGAGTAGCAGCATCATCAAGTCTACAGGGCTTATCCCCCATTTTTGTATAGGTTCAGTTAGAAAAGCATTTTTTGGAAGCTGCAATGAGCCACACCCCACCCCAACACCCCCCCCCGTGGGCTACCTGATCCTTTCTGTAGTTGTCTTTCATGCTCATTGCAACAAGATAACAATTTTCAAAGAGAAAAAAAAAACAAGTTTCGTACTGTAAGTCTCTTTAAGACTCAATAGACCTGACTAAGTCCACTGCATGTCAACTTAGATCAGGACTATAACGATTCCCAATCTGAGTCACTCCTTTACAAATAACTAGGCATTTAAGCCTTCTTCTAAACTAAGCTTTTGGTCATGCAAATATATAGTTTGACTTTTACAAATGATGCCACTCAAATATTAGATGTTATGTTGCCTTAGGATGGCACTTCTTTACTAACAAAATGGGCAGCCTAATACCGCCTGTTCTAGCCATGAATCTGAATATTACTCTATATCCCATATTAAGAATAAGGATAAACGGTCTCAAACCTAAATATTATGCTCTTGTATGATTTCTCCTTGCGCTTTACGTCAAAGTGAATGTTCATTTCCCAATGCAACTTTGCACCTAAAAGAGATTAGCATTTATTTCATGAGATGTATGTTTTACCGATTCTTGGGCAATCAATCAACTGGATCAGGAATAAGGCCATATGTCCTCCAAAGCATTGGCCGAAGGAAATATTCAGCAGCTTAAATAACCATCACAGCTCCCAAACGTGGACAATAGTTTAGTGCTCCAAATGACCACCTCAAGTTAAGAGGGTTAACAAAAAGCGATGACTGAGAAGATTGGTGCCCCTGGACACAATATGCCCCAAGCTCTGGTAGCATTGTTTGCGAGAGTAGGCAATTGGAAACAACTGTATATGGAATGTTAACCACCTATGGTTCTCATTTCATTAAATTTTTTAACAGGCACAATTGCCAAAGTAGAGAGGATTAAAGAGACACATAAGCAAACCATGGTTTTTCTTCATTTTTCAAAGAGATTTACAGTGAATCGTGGTTTTCACGAACTTATAGTCTGTAAAATGAGGAGATTTTTAATACAATGGCAAAGATGACCATTGTTGCATATATATGGCCGTATGAAGCTATTTGCATGAGCAACTACAAATGAAACAATAAAAATACGCAATTGCGAATAAAAATTCCGAAGACTAAGAATTTGGTAATATCTCTTTACAAATCTATGAATCAGAAGCCAATATAATGAGTAGCCTCTGAATTAACAGTCACATGCTTCTGAAAAATGCATTAATTAAAATACGCTAAATAATCACTACATAACTTGAAAAAATCAACAGTCATTTCTTGAAAAAAAAAATCAACAGTCATTGAACTACAAAGATGTTTTCTTCTATTGATTCAATTTGAATAACAAAGAACGAATAAACAAAACAAAACAAAAAGTAGAAACCCTAGTGAATCACCTACAAAGATGTAATGTTTCCTTAAAAGAACCTCAAAAGAGTAGTTTTTCAGCTTACACATACCAAGGAATCAGAAAACATAATACACATCATTAGCAGCCATTAACAAGAGAGAGAGTACCTTAAATTGGAGGACAGAGAGCCTCAAAGTTTTGCAGGGGTTTTAGGATGTGGAACCCTCCCTTGGGTTTCTTTTTGTTTGGGTTTGACATATTCCTACAGTTTAACGGCATGTCAGCAGCCATCAGATATCAACAATCGACGGATTCAATATGCCATTACGCTGCTACAAACAATATATTTTTGTTTATTTTTCCCCCAAATTTTCTTCTCTGTTTGCATCTGGCAGCGGAATCGAACCCGAAACCTAAGGGTCTAGTTTAAGTCAAAACCAACACCTTTAAATCGAGATACAATTCTCGTAAAGCCCAAACGAAGTAAAGCTCGCTAGAAATCACGATTGGGTTTCACAAATCTTGATGGCTCCAAAATTAATTTATGAATTAGGTTTCTATAAAACTTATATGAAAATAAAATAAAGCCTCACCTCAAGTTTTTATTGGAAAATCATTTTTTTTTAACGTTATTCTCATTCGGAAATCATTTTTCGCAATTGAAATCTCTATGGTGGACCTAAATCAATTTCTAATACCAATAATAAAATTTGAAACTCAAAAAATAGTACAGATATTGCGGATCTATGAATACTTATTTTTCAAGTTGAATGGACGGTATAGATAGTTTGTTACAATATATACTATTTCCAAAGCTTAAAATCCTTTTTTTTTTCACAAGCATAATGTTCAAGCCGAGATGATTGATGTAAAGTTTTTCCAATGTTTGAATTTTAATTTTTGATGAATTATATAAGGTGAGGTTTTTACTTATTTTGATAGGGTTCCAGTCCTATCAAACTATTTTCCTTGATTTAAAACTACTGTTAAATTTGTTGTTTAAAAAATAGTGCAGATTTTGCGGATACATAAACACTTATTTTTAAGACATGTTTGATAACTAGAAGATAAACGTGCCCTTAAAATTGAAAGTTCTTTTTTGTTCGAAAAAAAAGGATCTCAAGTAAAATCCTGATTGTTAGTGTTTGATAACTTAATGGAAGGTTAAAAAAGTCATAAATACTTTTGTTTTACAACTTATTGGAATAATACATAAATACATATATATTATATGAGTCAGGATCTTATAGAATCCTCCCCCACCTAGAAGCATGAGACCCAACTCATCACCATCGATTACGATCCAAATATTACCATCCAAATATCAAGGTGGGATTAAATTTCCACCCTTTTTTAAATTTTTTTTTAAATAAAGCTTTCTCTCATCCGTACTTTCGGTCGACGTCCTGACACATGCGTCTCTCTCCTGTCTCTCCCATCTTAATATTTTGGGTTTTCTAAACCTCCATCCCTCTCTCTCCTCCTCTGTGTTAATCGCTTATCCTGCATCTCTGCTCTCGCCGGTCTCTCGGTGCTCAAAACCCTAATGCTATTTCTTAGTTTGAATATCTGCAACTCAATGTTTGGGACCTTTTATAAACTCTTCTGCTTTGCTTCATGGCTTCAAATCTCACCTTGGTGGTGATGGAGAACTGTATAAACCGCTCTCATGATCTGTTTATCAAGTATTGGGGGAAGCGTTTTAGGTTTGAGTGATGTCGGGGAGGAGTACTATTTTTATCAGGTGTAGAGAGAGACTGGTTCGTGAGATTTTTCTCTTGCATATTTTCATTCTACTGAAGAAAGCTTAGTGGTGTGGGAGCTTTCTTCTATGGGTTCCTCAAGGTACAATCTCTCTCTCTGCGCCCCTCCTCCGCCTCTTGGTTTCATTTTTTTATTTTTCTTTTCTTTCATGTTGAATCTCAATCTCTCTCTCTCTCTCTCTCTCTCTCTCACACACACACACACATTGGGATTCATTTGTTGCTCTCAGGGTGTCATATGTAATCTCTCTCTTTCTCTCTCTCTAATCGAGGTTCATTAATGCTTTTTTGTGCCATTTGTAAATTCTCGCTGTCACTGCCCTTGCCCATCTCTCGGTGCTCGAAACCCTAAACCTATTTCTTGGTTCGAATCTTTGCAACTCAATGTTTGGGACCTTTTATGAACTCTTTTGCTTTGTTTATTGGCTTCAAATCTCACCTTGGCGTGGTAGAGATATTATGGTTGTTTTGAAATTTAGGGCATTGGTGGTATTCACTCAACAAGAAGCCCCCATGGAATCTGGTTTTCAAGGAGAGAGCCAGCCATTTTCAGGTGATGGCTTTGTTTATGACCAGCAGCAACTAAGGGCCTTTTTCTCTGTCTTGACCATGATGTATCTTCTTTTTGGGTGCTTGATTCTAGGGTTACAGGGTTGGTGTTTTTCAAGTGGTCAGTTAGAGAAGTGTTTTCTTGTTTGTGGTCTTCTTTTCTGAAATTAAAGATCGAAGAGTAATTTTTCGACTGGTTTTGAGGCTCAATTTTTTTTTTACAACAAGTTCTTATCTACTGTTTTTTTTTATTGTAATACTTCTGCCAATTTTTCAGGTCAATATTTGGGCCTTGCACAGCATACAGAGAATTAAAAAGCCATTGCCACCAAAGAATGGAAGAATCAAATCATAAACACTAGTTGAAACTTAAAAGGCCATATGTAATGTTTCATTTCCATCCTAGAGCCTGCCTTATACCAGTGTAAATGAGTCTCAAGGACCTCCCAATCAAGCAATCCAGAAAGAAATACACATCACTGCTCACTTTAGCTGCTAGTGCTCTACGCAATGGCATCGCAATGTCATAGAACTCTAGAAACAGGTTGAAAGTACCTCCACCCTGTCAAGGATCTTAATTTGGTTCTCCTCTTCATGGGCAAAGACATGTCCCTGATCACAATATAATAAGTTGTTACCATTGGCTTGCCCAATATAAGCTTTCTCCACCAATTGATTTTATCTGAGGAGCTCTTAATTGGCTTCTTGATAATCTGGATTTGCAATGAGCACAAATTTGCTCGGCACCAATACTTTTTTCAGTTGTATTGGCTCTATGCTAAGCTAAGTGTTTTTTTTTTTTTGGGGAATTTTTTGGTTATGGGTTTGATGAGCTTGTCAAAAAATGCAAATGAGATTTTCCTCTCCTAGAACTGAGTGAGATAAAATATGAGTTTTGGGTATGTACTATGTCATCATAATGTCATATTTCAAATAGCAGATAGAACCTTGCTCACACGATAATACTCAATTGTTGGTTTTCTCCTGGCTTCTATATAACCCCTAATATTTGCTGGTTTTCTCCTTGAACGACAATAAGAACCTATGAGAAGTATACATGCACCAGTGGAATCACAGGTAAAAAGGAGCAATAATGATGGTTCCAAGGAGGTAAGTGATATAATACTTGCAGTGAGGAAGATGAAAATGGAAGGTTGGGAAGCCCGAATGCAAATGAAGGAAATATTGGTTGTTAACCATTTGAGGGTATGGAATTTTCATCTGAGGAAGAAGAAAAATTATTCTATAATGAATATGCGAGGCGAATGGGGTTTAGCATGTGCATGAGAAGTACGAAAATAATACAATGTGAAGGGGTCATGAGCTCTCGTAGATTTCTATGTTCCAGAGAAGGATTTCGTACAAGGAAAGTTGATAGTGGAAAACTTACTCGAAAGGTACCAGACACAAGAATTGGTTATAAAACAATGATAAAAATATGTAAGAAAGATATTGACAAGTGGGTTGTTACACGTTTTGAGAGAGACCACAATCATGTATTTGTGAGCCCAAGTAAGGTGCGTTGTCTCTGATCGCATCAGACTATTTCTGAATGTGAGAGAAGTATCATCAATACCTTTCATAAAGCTGAGATTTTTACTAATAATATTATGAATGTCTTTAGAGTAGAATCTGGTGGAGACTGTAATTTAGGCTTAATGGACCGTGATTTTAGAAGTGAGCTTAGAAAGCTTAGAAAAAAAACCTTAATGATGATTCTCAATTACTCTTATATTCTTTAAAGCGCATGCAAAGTGAAAATCATTCTTTCTTTTATGCAATTGATGTAACTGATGATGGTCATTTAGCAAATATTTTTTGGGTTGATGCTAGGTCAAGGAATGCATATCAATATTTTGGGGATGTGGTGATTTTTGATACAACCTATAAGACTAATAGGTTTAAAATGCTTTTTGCCCCATTTATTGAAATCAACCACCATACCAATCCAACTTATTTGGTTGTGTACTTTTAGGAGATGAAACTGAATCGTCTTTCTTTGGCTATTTGAGATATGGCTTTCGACAATATATAGTAAACATCCAATTATAATAATCATTGACCAAGACAAGGCAACGCAAGGAGCTATTGCTCGTGTATTCCCAAACAGTGTCAACAGATTTTGCAAATGGCACATCTTAAAAAAGGTCAATGAGAAGTTGGGTAGCTTTTGTGCAAAACATCCTACTTTTGTTAGGGAGTTTCTCAACTATATTAACTACACCGAAACAATTGAAGAGTTCGTGAATTCCTGGGGATTAATCATTGATAGGTATGGGCTAGAGGAAAATAACTAGTTATCATTGTTATATGATATTCAACATCAATGGATTCCAGTCTACTTGTGTGGTACATTCTTTGTAAATTGCTCTATTATCCAACGAAGTGAAAGTATGAACCATTTTTTTCATGGGTTTTTTAACTCTCGAACTTCCTTGCAAGAATTTGTTCTTAAATATGAAGAGGCCCATGATCGTCGGTACGATGATGAATCCTATTTGGATCATGTCACTTCTTACTCTACACCAATTTTGAACACAAGACTACCTATGGAGAAACAAGCAGCAGATGCTTATACCAAGACAGTGTTTCTTAAGTTTCAAAAGGAATTGGATAAAGTGATATCAATTGTGGTAAAGAAAATTGAGGAGAATGGGCCAATCAACACATACAAGTTGACCACATATGAAAAAAATAGCAAACAATATATAGTTATATTTAATGTCTCCAAAACCGAAGCAACTTATTGCTGCAAAGATATATAAGTGGGCATTTTGGGATAATTAAGTGGGCATGAATTTCTCGAATTTATCTTGTGCATATTGATCAACTGGATTGGGTTAGTTTAGAAGTATAAATAGATAAGGTTAAATTAGAGGAGGTAGTTTAGGACTATAAATAAGATAAGGTTACGTTTAGAGAGAGTTTATATATATCAACAATAATCAAAGTTGTGGAGAATTTTAGGCAAAACGTGGGATAAAAATGAACCTAATTTTTTGCACGTGAATTAAAGAGAGAGAAGATAGGGAAAAATTATCACGTTATTTTAAGAGAGAGAAAATAGGGAAGAAGAGATAAAATAGGAAAAGTGTAGAAAGTTTTTTCTGTTAATGTTTATGTTATTTTTTAGTCAATTTAAAGGGAGATTTCCCTTCATTGTAAAAAAATAGTGGATGAGTTAATAAAATTTGGTCTCGTGAAGAGATTATTTTAAGGTGAATTCTCTTCTAGACCTTAAGAGATGGTATATTCTCTCAACCTTGGGGTGAAGTTCCTTGCAGACCTTGAGAGGGTATATTCTCTCAACTTTTTATTTTTATTTTTTGGGTGTGATTATTTCTTTGCATCAATTTACATCAATTGGTATCGGAGCGAATCAGATCTAGAGAGCAAGTTAGATCTACAGAGACCAAGCTAGATCAAAGCAAGTTAGATATGCTATGGATGATCATTGGGAAGAAGCTTGGGATCGTTGGGAACGAGCTATAGAAAAGTTTTCTAACATCCTAAAGGATGTTCGAACTAAAATATGTGAGAAGAAACAAGAGATGCAGCGGTTGGAGGACAATCTTCCTCGTGAAGAAAAAATGCAACAGTTGGAGAACAATCTTTTTCGTGAAGAAGAAATACAGCGGTTGGAGAACAATCTTCCTCGTGAAGAAGAAATTAACAAGCTAGATCCGTCGTGTTCTATAAAGAAGCCAGATCCACCACGTCCTATAGAACGACCACGAGATTTTGACATTAAAATCTATCTCCCAAAATTTCATAGTCAAGCGTGTTCATCGGTTGAACTTGGTATTTTTTTGGAGCTAGACCCATTTGGGATTAAGAATACTCAGCCCAAGCTGGTATTCAACAATTACTCTTGGAACACAGTTGCAAGCATCAGTCTTTTTGAGCTCAAGGTGGGACTTCATCATCAACTTTTCCACTAGTTTGGAAAAAAAAAGTTTGTTGACAATGTTCAATTATAACCGCCCAATATAGTTCTAACTTTATGGTAACACGTTGCATATTGCATACCTTCCAACCAAATCTTATTCATCTTTAATCCTATTTCAATAGCATGTATTCTAACAATGTTCGTAAGATAAGGCAATAGCTCACCAGTTATCAAGCAACGCAATTGGCACTACTTCACAAAGAGTTACTCCATATGAAAGAAATAAGTTACAAAAAGAGACAAACCTACTCAAATTCGGGGATTGGTTTATATTCAGTGGCTAAAAAGGGATGTTTACATTTGACACTCACCATTTAGAACAACATCCTTCTTATCCAAGCTAGTAGTAAGAAGGAAAAGCACCAAATACAAGCAATATAACTTTGTTGTAGTTTAAGACAGAAAAAATAAATCCAACTAATTAAGACAGTCATAATACAATCCAAGATGCATACCCAATTTTTTGTGAGTGTGTTAATTGTTGTTACTATAAAAGGTAAACAAAATATAAGTGTTAGGCAACCAACAAATAGGTTGCTCTATAAAAAAAACCGTAAGAGGGCTCAAACAAGGCTTTATATCCTAAATATAAACAAGTTAAGATACAAAAGTTGGGGATTAAAGGGGCCTCAAACAATGCTTTATATCCAAAATATAAACAAGTTAAGACACGAAAGTTGGGGAATATCATTGCTGTCGAATATCATACAACAATGCTAACTAGTTATTTTCCTTTAGTTAATACTTATCAATGATTAATCCCCATGAACTCTGGAACTGTTTAATTGTTTCGGTCCAGTTGCAAACTCTCGAACTCTTCAATTAAAAAGCCCCATTTGCAAAATTTGTGAACAGTATTTGAGAATACACGAGCAGTAGCTCCTTGCATAGCCTTGTCTTGGTCAGTGATCATTATAAAATAATTTTGCTTCTTCCTTAAGTGAAAATTCCATACTCTCAAATGGTTCACAACCAATATTTCATTTATTTGCATTCGGGTTTCCCAACCTTCCATTTTCATCTTCTTCACTACAAGTATTTATATCACTGACCTCCTTAGAACCATCATTATTGCTCCCTTTTACCTGTGATTCCACTGGTGCATGTATACTTTTCATAGGTGTCTATTGATATTTGAGGAGAAAACCAACAAATACAAGGGGTTATATAGAAGCAAGGAGAAAACCAACAATTGGGCATTATCGTATGAGAAAGGTTCTATCTACTATTTGAAATATGACATTATGATGACATAGCGCATACCCAAAGCTCGTATTTTATCTTCAACAGTTATGGGAGAGGAAAATCTCATTTGCATTTTTTAACAAGCTTGTCAAACCCATAACAAAAAAATTCACCCAAAAAAAAAAACTTAGATTAGCATAGAACCAATACAACTGAAAAAAGTATTGGTGTCGAGCAGATTGAGATAGCCCTGGGCATGAAACAATGACAATGTAATCGTATAGTTCAGAAGATGGTAGGTTACTGTCTGGAACCCCATTGTACTATAATACCATCCTAGCAGTTGAGTTCAAAACAGTATCCTGCCATCCTTTCAACTGTCTGTTATTGACATTGGATGGTTCAAAAGATGGTAGGTTACTGTCTGGAACCCCATTGTACTTTAATGGATGAACACCACATACTTACCACAATTTATTGAAATGTGCAAACTATAATTGATATGATATATAACTCTAAGGGGTGAATAAATCACACCCAAAAGACTAAGATATTTTTTTCAACCTGAACAGAAATACTCACAAAGGCCGAACACTATCACAAACAAATTCACCTTTTCGACTCACTTTGTATATCCCTTTGGAGAATATATAGTGTTTTGGTATTCCTGCAAAAGTTTGTAGAAGATATTAGACAATAAGAAGGTAGTGCATATAGAATTTTCAATGGGAGTCATACAAGGAACTGTACTCTGTGACTGTGTTTCACTTTCTGCTTTTAACACAACAGTACCAACAGAATATCACAAAAAAATGGTTTAACCAACCAAAAAAAAACACCAAATGAGAGAAAATCGGATTTTAGTACAAAAGTGACTTGAATCAAATACAAAAAATACGTAAGTATGACATAAGTTGCGGCTTATGATCGAGCATGTTAGTCAAAATTAAGACAACCTTCTATGAGAGAGGACAGAAAAAAAACTCAACTTCATCCATATAGAGCAAACCACATAGTATATTATCCTAGACTACCTAAAGATGGTATGCAAATGATACACATGTTTCTCAGGACAGGTTTCAAAAACCTAATATCACATCCATGCATAGCACAAGACCTAGCTTAATGAGGAAGTTGAAGTAATCAGTCACGAACTATAACAAAAAAAGCAATTGGTTTCAACTTTTTATTTAATAACTAATATGCAACTCAACGAAGCTAACCACAAGCTATTCGAGTCACTCAGAATCAATTGCCTCCGTATTCGTATCACTCAGATGAGTCGTGAGTCGGACCGGTGATTATAAAATAATGGCTAAAAAGCTCTTTGCTCAAAAAAAATGATCCCTTTAAGTCAACGATTTGATGACAAAATGTGGACAAGTAAATTGATCACTCGTCTCTTTTAAACTCTACAAATTTTTCTTCCAACACCTACTCATTTAAGAGTGGAAACCAATCAAAATCACTGGATGAACCTTCCGAACACACGCAAGTTTTAATCAAAGTAATCTGACAAAAGCAAAACAGGAAACCCAAATAACTTGTATCACGCAATTATCTACCACTA